CTTAAACCTGTACCTGTCGATGTTAATGATGATGAAGAGAAAGAGAAGAAAGATGAGAAACAATAGTATTCAACAATATAGTATCCTACAGTCGAATGTCTATAGATGACCCGCTCTTTTTCTATCATAAAAGTAACAGATTGATATCTTTTTCGAAGCAGTGCTATTATCAATGAATCAATTGTAACAGTATTCAATTTAGACGTTGTTGAGCAAACACTCGTGAAATAAAGAATTCTTAATCTATTTCGAACATATTTACGTAAAAATCTTTTCGATGCGATAGAGAGAACCAATTATCAGAGACATATTGAAGTTCTAAGAGATGCTTTCCATGCAATCAGTCAGCATCTCTGGTTAATAAAAATCATCGTAAAATGAATAATTAGGATTGCTCATGAAAAAAAAAACAGGTAAAGTTTTGAATTTGTTGATGTAGGCTTCATTGCGAATATTAATAAAGTATATTCTATGCATCTTCCGAGATTATTTGTGTGATGTTTGAGAAATATTAAGAAAAACCGTCCATAATAAAAATTCATTTATTTTTCTCTAGCAAAGTAAATCAAATTGACTCTCAAGAGACGAACGTTTCTCAAACATATCAGGTCTTCTGAGAATCTAACTTGAACACTCAGACGAATGCCAGAGTGAAATCAAATCTCTCTTTTTATTGCTGCTTGGATTTGATGTGAGCAGCACTATTCGTAATAATTTTCCTGATTTCAATCAGCAAATATTAATATAATTAAATTTCAATTCTCGAAAAACAATCAAGCAGATCGATTTGTGCATAGGAAAGCAATACAAAATGAATGTTCTCATGAAATCATCAAATTCTCTTGAATAAAATCAATATTTGATAAAATTGAATAATATTTTTTTCCATAACTTGGAAAAGAGGCAAAATCGAAGAGAGATTGATCAAGACAAAACACAATTATGGTAGCTTTTATGTTCCAAGTGTGTTTGCACTATTCACTTCGATAAACATATTAGTGAATGAAACTGACAATATAGCTTTTGATTCATCGAGTTTTATGGTTGGTAGTTCGATCTTCATATTTAAATTTCAATGATTCTTGTTAATTTTCTCTCTTTTCTCATATTATTTTGTAAATACTTCTCAATTCGAAATTTTCAGAAGTTTGTTCAACAAAACTGGCCAACGACAAAATAGCAAACACGTCGAACACATTATTTGTCAATGTTTCAATTTTGATCTTGATGAAAAATGAGAATTCGAAGAAAAATAACTTGTTCTTCATAGAAAAATGAAAATATTCGACAGTTCGTCGAATGACAGTCGACATGAACAAACTTAGAAGACCATCAAAAGATTGATGAAAATTAGCAATTAAAGATCGATTTCGAATGGAGAAAATCAATGTTCCATAGGATAAATCGAAATTTGACGTAGGTAATTAAGAACGAGATTATTTATTGTAGGAAACAAATCTTTATAGAAGATCATCATTTTAAGTTTCTCAAATATAGCAATAAGTCAAAGAGTTAAGAAAGAAGTTCTCTATTTCCACTGACAATCATCTTTACAATGACAAAAGATTCTTGTTGACCGAGATAAAAACAATTGTTCAAGGATTCTTGAAGAGATAGTTCGAAATACTTGAAGAAGAGAACAATCAATGTGCTTGAGATCTCGATTGAGCGATATGCGAAGACAAATGCTTGCATCAAGTAAATCCAACTTCAAGCACTTGCAGGAACATAAAACTTTTATTGTATATGTACACACTTTCTTTTAGTTCAGGCCCATCGAACACATGAAAAGCGAGAATATTCGTTCAGAATCAACTTTTGTTCGCTCATGCTAGTTCAGTTTCATTTTAATGATTCGATTCGTTGAATTAAGATTGCATATCACGTATCAATGACTTTTCTTGAAATATAGTATTCCATAAATTTCTTAAATAAAGTGTCGATGTGGTTCTCACTCTACTCTGCATCCACACCCACATCATCAAGATCATATAAACTCAATAATCGACAGTATGTGCATTGGCTAATAAAGGAAATCATTTTCTAGATCTTCAATTTGAAGCAACAATTGAGTGTCGTATGCGACAAAACTATCCTGGAAATTGTTGACAATTAAGAGGCTATTACTAATTGTCTGTTTTATTTCTGCGTCAATATCATAGTGTATACTTGTTCTTTTAATGATTTCGTTTAACCTTGGTCATTAGTCATTTTATGAGTGCTTGTTGAGTAAATAGCAATTTAAAATTTGGTTTTCGAATTATCAAATAAATAAATCGATAGTTGTTAAAGTTTTCATATCATTATGGAATTTTTGTTAGCAAAACACAATTGTCAATGAGTATGAAGGGGTTAACAAAAAACTAAGGATGTTCTCTTTATCCATCAGCCTTATCCTCAATGATACTCACACCTATTTAAAATTGTTCCATGATTCGATTGATGAATAGTATATCAGATCTTACAAAGAGCATATGATTCTTCTTCAATCATGTAAGCTTTCTATCCATCTATTCAACGTTGTATCTGGAAAAATGAACAAGAAAGGCAAGCACACATGTTTTTTAATTTTATTCTTATGTCAATAATTACACTTGTCATAATGACTATTTTACAAGAGCAAAATAGTCTTATCTAAGATGTCAAATGCGAGAAGAAAAAAACGTAGATATTTTTATAGCGCTATTTATTGATTAACGACACTGAAAGATCCTTGACTGCATTCATTCTTTATTGCGTTCTGAAAACGAGCTCAATATTTATAATGTGTAACAGATCGGTATGGCCAACAATCGATCACTGGCAAAAATATTGGTCCAAGAAAACTGCCATGATAATAGCTATTCTGCAGTTTCTTCTGACTTGGTCTACGCTTGGACTACAAATTGCCAGTTTCATAATTGGCAATGTTACTCTTCGTAAAGACCTCAATTCAAGATACATTTTCGGTTTCATTTGCCCGTCCTTCTTCATATCAAGCTGGATTTCAATATTCTGTCTAGGTGAGAGCATCATTATTATTGGACGAGCACATAAAAAAAATTATTGCTTTATGTGTAGATACGAGAAAAAAATGTGTGTGTCATATACAATGTCAATAACATAAATATAAATACAGGAGGGCAAATTCTATTGCAGTGCAATCAGTATTCAGAAACAAAGAGCTTCTCAATCTAATCATTGCTTTTATTTATTACCTATCAGCAGAAAAATGCATCTTTTTCCTTACGAGATAAACCAAAACAGCTTTTGAATATGTAAAAAAAATGAAATCGGATGTATCGTTCACTAAACTATTGAAGCGATGTTTTCGTTAGGCATTGTGCAAGCATGACCACACTAATGAAACAAAAAACATATTGCGCTTCTCCTAAAAGCTACTACATGTGCTTCACCAAGTATTAATTATTTCTAAAGGGGATATTCTAGCATCAGAAATTCTACCTGACGACAGGTCTGTACCGTTGCGTACATTTTCATTCAATGAGTTGGAAGATCCTGAACAGGAATGCCACTTCTTCTTTTTTTTATTTTTGTTAAAAAGAAAAAAAAAGTTTTCACATATCTATTTAAACAGTTTATTCATTTAGAAAATGAAATACATTAGAAGAGTATGAAGTTAATGAAATAATAATTAAATTTTAAGGTAGATAAGCATATAATTCTAAGGTCGTTCGACAGAAAGCTCATGCTAAATTTCTCAAATATAGAAAACTTTCGGAATATCTATTACGATGAATAATAGAAATGATTTTGATTTTTTATGATAGGTTAGAAAACGAAGTTGGTTTCTATCATTTACTGAATATTGAGTAGAAACTACTTTCCATTTATCATGTTCTATTCAGTCATGATAATGTAAAAGCAAAGTTGAACCCACTTATTAGACAACAATTTTTTCCAGTTTAGAGTAGAGTAGCAAAGTAATTATCGTTACAAGGTCCCACAGTCGATTATTTGATCAAGTTAACAAGTTGACTTTATATTGTTCAGCAAAAAAAATACTCTTTTCTAAATCAATTGTCAAAGAGTACAACCGAGATAATCTACATTTTGATGACGTCAAGTCACTCAAATAGCATACAGTTGATGTTAACTGGTGGTGAGTGTTGAAAGAAAATAATATCACATTCTAACAGAAATTATCTGATGTAGAAATAAGCTAATAAAAGTATCGACATATGGCTCTCGTCAGAAATAGGCATTTATATTCAAATACAATTACGTAAAGATTGAAATGACAGTTTTCATTCCGTCTGCTAACATATTTCAGCTGTTGCTTAGATTATAACTGCTATGAAATTAGGACTATAGCTGCATATCTGAAAATTATTCAACAAATAATTATAGTTTTTAAATAGTCACAGTTTTATCCGGCGCCACAATCTATTGTAAATTCCATTGATGTGATGAAAATATCTTGTTATAAAAAAAACTTTAAAAGTAGAGTTTTCATCAAAACGATTACATGATCGTCAGAGTTTTTGGAAAAATATGTCCAAAATGTTAAAGTTGGATTTTGTTCAATACCAGCAACTTTCATATTTTCTTCTTCTTTCAATTGTCGTTCATGATAGAAAGTGGGCGAAATCCTCAGTGTTCTTAAGAAATCTAGACTGATTTTTAAACAGTCACTTGAAGTGAGCAAGAATTTCAAGTATTCTATGATATTTTTAACATATTTACTTGAGAAGTGATTGAAAATGATCGTCTGCTCAGAAGGCACGCAATGCATAAAAACAGAGGATTATAAATGATCTTTATGGGACAACTGTGATTCCAAGGGGCAAAATAGAACAGTTTCTCTGTACATCAATAAAACGCGTTATTCTTCATCTGTTTTGCTTTGGAATGAGTCCATGTGCGCTTAGCGCACTGATATCACGCAGAGAAAATAATTATTGTTATATTTAGTTTGTCGTAGTCGAACATCAGCGGGTAGCACCTTGTATTCATTCATCCAAAACATAATGGCCGCTGTCATCTCGATTGTGTTCATCATGCTCGAAGTCGAATTTCTCGATGATCCATGGGATGAATTCAAGAAGAAGAAAAGACCTCGAAAAGGCACACCAAATTATCAGAAAGCCAAGCTCGAAATATCGCTGATCAAAGGTCAAATCATCTGTGCTGTTTTGCTACTTACCACCGCATGTGCCTTTATTCTTTTCTACTTAATTACTTTCATTCGAGCACGACGCGAAAATAGGCAAACCTCAGTTCATGCAGCTTCTCTGCCAATACAGGCACCGTCTTCGTGGACGACTGGTATAGCTCCACCACCATATGATTCTATCACATTCGATACTCAATATGAATCGAGCGCACCTTTGGATCAATGTAAACATGGCTATCAATGTTCTCATTGCCGACAAGTGGTGCCAATTCATCATTGAAACATTTTGTTGATTGTCATAGAAAAAGAATCCTTTTTTTTGCTTTATCAATATTTTTCTTAAAATGTTTCTTCGAGGGAAATAAAGAATCATGCATACTCAATACTTCTAGTATTATTATCTCTTCATTTCACAATCAATATGTTTTAAGGAGAAGATTTGTTGAACATTTATTCCAAACATCAACGAATTTGATATTCATACAAATGTATCTTTACTCGTGTTTTTTGTATGCCAAATTGGTCGTTTGGTCAACTTTGTGCATTTGGCTTTGTTGTCTGACAAATGCTAACAGTTCTTTGCAATCTGTATTCGACATTATTACAGCTTTCCACTTGTTTGTCCGATTGGTGATCTAAATGTGATAGATAGACAATCGAACACATTCTGGTGAAGTTTATCACTTATTCGAACTCTTTACAAGTTGAAACTTCAAGCTATGTTTTTGAAAGTGATTTGCATTTCATAGTTGGAAGACATGAAAAAAGACTTTTCTTTGTTTCACCGAAATTTTCGTACATGTTGTTGTATTTGTAACATATAGATGAGTTATTTTCTTGAAACTGTTTCTATCACATATACATATTCCATATAGACTTTCACTTCGAGATACGAGAAATTTCTTAATAAAACAAGATTATACATGGTGCATAATATTTTATAAAGACAATATACGCTAGAATAAAAATAATATGTATTGTAATTCTGACCCGCAAATACAATAAGATAATTTTGAATTTTCAAATGTACGAGACAGATCAACATTAATTGAGAAATATGATTTTGATCAAGAAGCCAAATATCATTTTGCCATCTTTGATTTTCTTTTTGACGGATGATACAAACCACCTTCCGGGAAAAATACCTCTTCAAGCTTCATCACCTAGAGCATGTTTTGGAAAAATAAAAAGTAATTTTTCAAAACCTGCATTCAAAGTACTATGCAATTGTGTACTCAAAAAAGTTACATGATGTTTTGCCTTTCAGTAATGAGCATATCCTCAAGTAACACTTAAATGTAGTCTGTAAATAGCAAAACGCAATAGTTGCAATAGCACGATGCAATTCCTCTGTATTTTGCAAATTTCTTCAATGCATTCCATGATCTTTTGTTGCTTTTTTTCTTTAAATGAACATAAACAGACGTGTTTTACTTCCCTGCTTTTCTTGCCTGTTGACATGTTGATGTAGCGTCTATTCATGCTTATCGTTATCTCGATTTATTATTCTAAGTGTCAGACATGTGAGAAAAACGAAAAACTGACTCTTCCAAAATTATGGGACATCATGAGAATACATCAAATTAGAAATCGTTGTGTTGACTTTATTTAGACTTTTTTCCGAGTTTATATCATCAAATTGACGAATAGATTCAACTCAAGTCAGCTCACTTGTTTGTTTTTAATCTTATATTATTTTATTAAATAGTGTTGTTTCAATCTCACTTTATATCACTATTGAATTAATTTGTCTTTTATAATCGAAATGGATCGATTGAGATATTCAAATGGTTGATCAATCACAAACACGAACAGCTGGAGAGAGCAAAAGTTATGATGGTCACTTCGTTCAATCCATGTTATATAGAATGATAACGAACAAGTTCAAACTTGCAAGAGTGGGTATGGATTTGAGATTATATGTCGTTGTCAGTCACTAATAACGCGTACACTCACACTCTAGACGAACTACAAACGAATCATCGAAATGCCATTCAAAGACTATATACATCTCGTTTGTAATCACGATAAAATTTTTCCTCAATCTCCAATTCCTTCAGATTTCTGGCGTTAATCTCAGTGCATCACACAATTAATTCATGGTTATGATCAAGTTTTGGCTCCATATGCAAAAGAGTATCAAGGAGTAGTTGATTGAACAAGAATCTCCCATTGATTTTGGTGGAAGACATTTCTGACGTTTGGTTTACATTAAAAATATCGATGGAAAAGGTGCTACGAAGAAAGCGAATCTGATTTGTCACTTGATCCAGATTAACGCGTTTCATCTGTATATGTTAAGAGTATATCGTACAGATCGATAAAAGACAGAAACAAACGCACTTGCACATATTCAGGTAATACATCATGTCGATGATTAATGCTAGATGCAACTGGATGGACAACAAGGATACATTTGATCGAACAAAGACAGTGAGTATACCATGAACTATTTTCTTGTGCCCATTGTTGCGGAATCAGAAGTAGAACGTTAGTACTGGTCGATAATTCATACAGGTAGTTTGCACATTCAATAATATCTTCGAAGAAGTAAATATTGGATTTTTCCAAAGATATCATTTGTTCTGAATAGTATGGATCTAGCAGTAACATTGTGTGTATCTGTTTCTTGCTTGTTCACAAGTACAAAATTCTTCGATTCTTGAACGTCAGAAAAAATGATTCAATTCAGATCTTTCAAGAGACCTGATGAAATAATTCACTTTTATTTCCTATAACCTCACGAAGTTGATTAGTGCATTTTTTCTACAAATAATAACGTAATGCTAAGATGTGGCGTCATTCACTTGTCACTCTCTTGCCGCTTATATAAAAAATTTTAAGTGCATTAGTAACACATAATCATACAGAATGAATAATTAGTTAATAATATTCGACAAATAAAAATCGATATCAGTGGAATCGCGTATGCTTTCTCGCTATAGATCAGATGAGGATGGCTTTTCGAATGCATTCCTGTCTGTCATCTAAATTAGGATACTGATGCTTTTAAACAGTATTAATCTACTTTGATTGAAAAACAGAGAATCACACTCTACAAGCGTCGCATGCAGAGGCAAGCATCATAAAATTTTGATATATTCACATTTATTTCCTTGTCGTTCTATCTCTTCCGAGTTGTAAAAGGTGAATCAGACAAGAAATATGTATAAAACATATTATGTAGAGCATAGGTATTGGTTTTTTAATTATTTTCCATGCCAAGCTCTTAGTTTGCAACAAGAGATGAATTCGTCATTGAAGTCTTATCCTCTGACTCTTGTGAGCTCTGTTATCGATTGAACAGCGTGTCGAATTGTAAATAATGAGAAGTGCCGAATTCATCGATATCAGTGCATTTTATGTTTCTAAAGCATCAATTGAACATGACACGCCTAAAAAATTAAGAATAAGCGATTTCTTATGACTGCAATATCGTCACCTTCTGGTTTTTCATTTTTCGAACTCCTGACAAATAATAAGTACTCAGTTATGTCTACCATAAGTTTGACATCGCAGAAAAAGTTGATCATCTGCTCCTTCGCTACCACCAACGAAATATTTATCGACTGTCATATCTATGATAGATAGGTTTTTATTAATATTTTCTTAAGTAGAATCTTCTTTAGGTTTTCTTTTTTTGATTTCATGTATTCTATTGAACTCTTCTTTCTAGCTAGATTGCTTTTGTTTCACTTTCTTTGACTAATGACTACATAGGATGAAGACCAGAAAACAATCATATAAAGTTCTCAAAGATTAAAGATCCATAAAATCATGGTCCGAGACGCAAAATCCAACAGTCTGAAAAACCATAGTTCATGTCAAAATTAAATCTGATTCTTCTTCGTTAAATATTGTTCAATTAATTTTAGAGAGGATTTGTTTTTCTTTTAATCTTGAACGATTCAATCCAGAATTCATCAAAGTTATTTTATTTGAGCAAGTTTTTTATCTCTTTGAATACCAAATGATCAATCATTAACAAGAAAGTTCAAAAATAATTGATCAATTCTTTGCTCTTTTGTTCAACATAAATTTGTTTTGATTGATGTTCGAAGAGAAATTTATTTTCAACATTCGATCTGAAAGAAGATTTTCCTCGGTGTTTCGTGTGGATCTGATCATCGCGCAAGATTTCTGTTTACTATCGATCAATTATTTCGAGATATTTCAACAATGATAAAGACTCTTATTGAATTCTCTCGAATGAATAGAAATATCTTTAATAACAACTGAATTGAAAATTATTTCTTTATAAAAAAAATATATCGATTATGTTTTCGACAAAGGATTCTTATAGAAAAATTTCGTCAATTCGAATCTTTTTTTCTGACAATCAGAACCAAATCGGAGTGTGTATATCTTTTTGTAGAAAAATATCGTATTCTTTGCTCAGAACAACCAACATACTGGAAATTCTATCAAAGCCCGTGTTTTTTGCCTCGGTACAAATTTTGTAAAGTCTGTCAAAAGTCACCAATACAATATTATTTCAAAAGAACAAAAATAAGCACTCTAATTCGATCAAAGTTGTCATTAAAAATTTTTTAGCTCAATGAGTCCTATCTTTAGGGAGGAAAATTAGGAAAGCTTCGGTTTTTCTTTCGAAAAGTGAGTTTCGAGAAAAACGAAATGCAAATTTTTCGGTATGCACTAGTACTTTTCTTCTTCCACTAAAGCAATCAAAAACTGGTCATGTTCAGCGGTGTTATGGGTTCATGATCGATGCTCTGAGTATTTTTGAAATAAGAAATAAATATTATCAATGGGAAAGTTTTGTAGTAATTGAAAAATCACAGATAGAGTTCTTTGGCTAGAGATGTTGAAAGTTCAATAGAATAAAAATATTAATTAACAATGAGGTTCCCTCATTTATGTGGCATTCGGGGGAGAATACCTTGGAGCTATATTAGCAACGGTAAACCTGAAATCGAGAAATTCTGGTTTTCTTTCAGGCTCGGAAAAGCGGGATCCCTTACATGTATCTATACATAAAAAATGTTGCACTGAAGACGCGAATTACACCAAAAATACGTTGGGACAGATTTCTGTTTAAACAATTTATATTGCCAGCATTCAGATGCATTTTACGTTCAAAACCTATCTAGACGCGGCCATATCACGTTTCGTAATTACATGATTGAAGTGGTCAAAAAAGCGGCATTCCTTCATCCTAATATGCTTTACTGAATCTGAACAAAGGTAACCTAACGAAAGTCATCGCGATTGAGTGAATGATCAAAAGATAAAACCATGAGAAAAAAAAACGATCAGTTT